CTGGATGGCCCTTGTGGTCTCTTCCAACTCTATGATTCTATGAATTATCTGCTGTTTCTGTTGTTTTATATTTCAGAACAGCATGCTGAAGCCGCCTTGATAGCCTTGGCTAAAGGCGGGATATAAATAAATTATTATTATTATTATTATTCTGCTCTGAAGGTCCCTAAAATAGAAAGGTGTGATTAAAAACATTTATTATTTGGAAAAAGAAAAGAAAATTGTCTTAAAAATGGCTTCTTTATTAAAAGAATGAGCAGAGGTTGTTTCTCTGGAGAGAATTCCCTTGCTGTTAGTCTACAACTGATAATATTTTATAATGTGCCCTTCTTGATCTCCATTCTATTAATATATCCATGACAAACTTTAAGACACTTCAAGATAGATTGGAAATACTGAATTAACATAACAGGGATGGTTGATTTCTTGTTACAAAGCACTTTATGGCTGCAATTCTATGCACAAAATTGTCTGGGAACAAGCCCCATTGATTGCAATGGAATTTACTTCTAAGTACACTGCTATTGGTTCACACTTTCCAGTGGGTTGTATGATATACCGTACATAAGTGGGACTAAACACCCTGAAGGTGCCAGATCCCTTCTGATCTTGGAAGCTAAGCAGGATGAGGCTTAGTATTTGGATGGGAGAAAACCAAGGAATACCAGATACTGTAGGCTATCTTTCATAGGAAGGCAATGGCAAAACACCTTTGCCTAGGAAAACCCTACTTGTCTAAAGATGTCCAGTGGTTTTCATGGCTGAGCAAGGATTCAGTTTTTGGTCTCCAGGAGTCCTAGGCAAACATAAAAACAACTATGTTGTTGTTGTTTTGTGCCTTCACGTCATTTTTGACTTATGGCAACCCTATGGTGACCTTATCACAGGGTTTTCTTGACAAGATTTGTTCAGAAGGAGTTTGCCATTTTACTTTCCTCTGAGGCTGAGAGAGTGTTACATGCCAAAGGTCATCCAGTGGGTTTCCATAACTGAGTGGGGATTTGAACCCTGATCTCCTGGATTTCCAGTCCAGCACCTAGACCACTACACTACACTAGTTCTATCTATACCATGGCCTAAATATCCTCAGGGCATCAGATCATATTTTATCAGAAACTAAGAAAGGCCAAGCGTAGTTGGATGTGAAACTGCCAGAAATACTAGGTGCTGTAAGCTAGATTTCAGAGGAAGACAATACCAAACTACCTCTGAGTATTCCTTTATTTGGAAATCCCTATGAAATTAATAGGGTTGCCATACATCGACAAGTAATTTTAAAGCACATACACACTCGCGTTACACATAGGCATTTTGCATAGGTATATTAATGCTTTGATTTTTATCTATTTCTTTCTTGAATGTTTGCTCCTACAAACTGCTAATAAAATAGTGAGTTTTTATTTGTAGAGGTTACTCAGAATTAAAGAATTAGAAGCTGTCATGAGGTTCTCTTTGTTTTGAAAGAAAAAAACACTAATGTATGTAAATATTATACAAATAATAACTTGGAGTTTACATAGTGCATTTTTATTATTAGGACCCTAACTGTGACTATTCAGGATACATGCAGTCCAAGTCAAATAAGCCATTCTTACTTTGCATTACTGGAGAGCCTGAATTCCAACAGAGCCAGAGCAATAGATGGTGGTTTTCCCACAGCAACTTATAGCCTTTTTGTAGAAATGCTGTTAGCTCCTGTGTGGAGTGTTTGGAATTTCCTGCTGGCTCTGTGCTATGAAATGTTCAGTCTGTGTGTGCACATATCCTCTCAACCCTCCCCCCTTTACAGTTTTTCTGTTTGTCCCTCTCAGTAAAAAGCAAAGATTGCAGTGTGTGAAAGATGGTGCTCTCAAGGGAGTAGAGGAGCTTGTTTGCCAGCATTTCTGATGAATATCTGTTTTCTGGTTTCATTTGGCACACTAGGCTTTGGAGAGATTTTTACTTCTTTACACTAGATTTTCATTTTCATTTATAAAATGTATACAATTCCACCTACAGCCAGTAGTTCAAAACAACTTAACAAAAAAATTAACAAAGCAACAATAACAAGAAGAATAAAGTAGTCACATGTGGTATATTGATGTGAAACACTCCAGTGCTGAATCTTTTAGCCCAGTGATTTGGATCCTAAATAAGACATTAGAAAATTCATGAAAGACGTTCAGCAATAGTAATGGATCATTCCCACTTGCAAAAAGCGAAGTCTGGTTGGGTTTTGGGTCTCTGCAGTCCCGTCCTTATACTGTTTCTGGGGGTCACCTAGTTATCCAGGACAGATATTTGAAGGGGCTGTTGGAAGGAGAGAGATCTGGAAAAATCACAAAGAATTCTGCTCAAGGATTCTCTGTTTATGAGAACATACTCAGGATCCAAGTCTATCTTCCTGTATCTAATCTGTTAATTTTTGTCTAATGATACATTTCCTGCATTACAATGGATTCAACAATTATTTGTTAAAAATGTACTCTGATGTACAAATAAGAGATCTCATTGTTTTTTTCATAATACAAATGTCTTGACAGATACTTGCTAATTAACTCTGTTATCAATTCAACATGTTATACGTTTTAAAATTTGGGTTCTTGAAAGAAAGGTTTTGTGGAATGAAGGAAACTTTTCATCTTTCTGTACAGTTTACTTTGTTGTGAACAGTCATAAAACAGATGTGCAAAAACAATGAGTGTTTTGCACTGTTATTGGAAGATACAGTAATTACATAAGGTTACTGCTCCATATACCAAC